TAAATTTTACATTTTAAAATGACAATACCAGGCAGTCCCAGGTCTCTCTCCCAGCTCTCTTAACTGCTTGTACTAGCAAGGAAGCAGACAAGCAGCCTCTTCACTAACTGAAAGTTTGAATTTCCCCGCTTTCCCTGCCTTCCCTGCATATTAGGTATGCTAATATCTGTGCACTGGAGGATTGTGAGAGGAACATTCCAGCCCCTGATGGGGGTCCTGTGGGGCACCCCAAAACACTGAGTAGGTCTCTTGGCCTCTTTCAGGACTGGGGCTGTGCAGCCCTGCTCTGATCAGGAGGTGCAGCCGGGTGTCACCATGCCTTTGGGGGATAGGGCACAGAAAGGGAAAGAATTTTCAGGAGCCATTCTAACTCTTACCTGGCAGGGGAGATACAATTATTTTAAAAGTGGTTTTCCCAGGGTAAGGCTCATCTATTGCACTTTGGATGTGCTGACCCCTGTGATTTCCCCAAATGTGGGAAAATCAACTGCCTAAGTGGGGGACTGTGTTTATGCTTTCCCCTGGTCTTTCTAGAATCACCCTTTCCCCTTTGGTCTTTGGCTGTTTTTACTGCCTGCTGCCATAGGCCTGTTGGCCTTGCTGGTTTTTCCAGGTGGGCTGCAGGAAGCAGATCCTGGAAAGCTAGCAGTGCAGAATGGTGAGGTCCAAACAGCAAGCAGTCTCTGGTGCCAGTTCAGAGGTCTCTCAGCATGGCAGTGGGAGGCTTCTGGGTGGTGGTGGCTGAACCCTTTTATTACTGTATTTACTCCATAAGACGCACATACTTTCTCCCCCTATATTGGGGGGAGTGCGTCTTATGGAGCAAAAAATATGGTAACTGATTTTAGTACTCCATGGTAACAGAACTTCTTAATTCTTTTGTGTTGATTTTGAGCACTTATAGCAGTAGGAGTGATTCTGGCCAACATTTTGTAGGGCTTGTGCAGTGTAAACTCTCAACCGTGTAATCATTGTGTGAGATCTGTGCCGGCTGTCTGTTGCTCACGTGGACATGCTTGGGTTGCATGCTGTGAAAACTTCATGCAGGATTCCCCTTGTATGAGTAGCATTTCACAGTAGCATTTTAGCTTGGATCAGGAAAATTTTCATTCAGATCCGGACATATTTGAATTGCTTATTTATTTATTGAATATTTTAACTTGCTCTTAAAGTAACAAAAGTAAAAGCAGAGATAAAAATAGACTCATGGTTAAAACATTAAAAAAATTAATTTAAAATGCAATTAAACATATAGCAGTAAGGAACCTGTAGCTAGAAGGTTATTGTGATAATGTAACATGATCATTCATCAGTTTAGAAATTTGATAGATAAATAAATAAACAAACAAACAAATAAACAAAAGCCATAACCCCTAGGCCGTTTATTCCAGAACAAATTAGTTACAGTGCCATGGTGCCAAAAATAAGTGGCTGAAGAATATATTCTTAACGTTTTCATCAGTTTAGAAATTTGATAAATAAATAAACAAACAAATAAACAAAAGCCATAACCCCTAGGCCGTTTATTCCAGAACAAATTAGTTACAGTGCCATGGTGCCAAAAATAAGTGGCTGAAGAATATATTCTTAACATTTTCATCACCATGTCATTCTGTTAGTCAAATATTAACCCTGTTGATATTTTGTGGGAGACGTTTAGCAGCAAGCAGAATGTCGAGCCAAGATGTGTGTATAGAACATGGTATACCCCCAAGATGGGGGTGGGTGGGTTTGCTGTTGATTATAAACGTCTTTGTTAACTCCTCTAAAAGTACTGGAGTTAACAAAGAAAACTGAAAGAAAATGTGTACTTCTGTAATTTTACCTTTTTATTTATTTTCATTTATTTTTTTTCAGCTTATGTTCCCGAGGAAGAACTGAAAGCAGCAGAAATTGATGAAGATACTGTTGAGGATGATGGGCTACCTCTGGACAGCCAGGAAACTGAGTACATGTGCACTGATGAAACAGAGATCAAAGAGGCTCAGAGTTACCAGAACTCCCCAGTCAGCACAGCCACAAATCAGGATGCTGGTTACGGTTCACCATTTAGTGAAAACAGTGACCAGCTGGTTCTTTTCAAAAGCACTTCCTCCAAAGACGAGAGGGAAGATCACCAGTGCTTGGACAATGCGTCCTATCCACAGGACAGCTTGGCACAAATCAAAGCTGTATATGCAAATTTACTGTCAGAGTCTTGCTGGTCCAGTTTGGCTTTGGATTTAAAAAAATCAAAGAGTAATGAAAACAGCCAGAAGGAAAATACCACTAATAGCAGCAGCTCTAGTACCAATACTCCAAGTACCAATACTCCAAGTACAAGTACCAGTACCAGTACTAGCACCACAACAAGTATCAGTAGTACTAGTAACAGCAACAGTAACAGCAACAGTGGTGGCTCAGGTTATGACTGGCATCAAGCTGCATTGGCCAAAACTCTGCAGCAGACCTCATCATATGGACTTCTCCCAGAACCTAGTCTGTTTAGCACAGTGCAGCTTTACCGGCAAAACAATAAACTGTATGGTTCTGTGTTTACTGGTGCCAGTAAGTTTCGGTGCAAAGACTGTAGTGCAGCATATGACACACTGGTGGAATTAACGGTGCACATGAATGAAACTGGACATTACCGGGATGACAACCGAGATAAAGAAGCTGAGAAGACCAAACGGTGGTCAAAACCCAGAAAGCGATCACTTATGGAAATGGAAGGCAAAGAGGATGCCCAGAAAGTGCTCAAGTGCATGTACTGTGGGCATTCATTCGAATCTTTGCAAGATTTGAGTGTCCATATGATAAAAACAAAGCATTACCAGAAAGTGCCTCTGAAGGAACCAGTACCAGCCATCACCAAACTGGTGCCTTCTACCAAAAAGCGAGCACTTCAGGACTTAGCTTCACCTTGCTCACCTGAGCCAACAACAATCCCATCAGAGACAATGCTTAGTGAAGCAGCAAAGGATCAGAAAACTGCCAACCCGTATGTGACTCCAAACAACCGCTATGGCTATCAAAATGGTGCTAGCTACACCTGGCAGTTTGAAGCCCGCAAAGCCCAGATACTGAAATGCATGGAATGTGGCAGTTCACATGACACTTTGCAGCAGCTTACTGCCCACATGATGGTCACTGGACATTTTTTGAAAGTAACTAATTCCGCCTCTAAAAAGGGAAAGCAGCTCGTTCTGGATCCTGTGGTAGAGGAGAAGATACAATCCATACCTTTACCACCCACCACCCACACGAGATTACCAGCTGCAAATGTTAAAAAGCAGCCAGGTTCTCCTGCTGGATCTACTACATCTGAAGAAAAGAAGGACCCAGAGAAGGAAAAAGTGATTGTTCCTGAAAATGACAAAAAAATTAAAGAAGAGAATGAGGATTCTGTTGAAAAATTTGAGCCCACAGCAGTCTACCAGTACCTAAGAGAGGAAGATTTAGATGAAAGCCCGAAAGGTGGGATAGATATATTAAAATCCCTGGAAAATACGGTGACAACAGCGATAAGCAAGGCTCAGAATGGTGCCCCTTCGTGGGGAGGCTACCCCAGTATTCATGCAGCTTACCAGCTTCCAGGGTCTGTCAAGCCCATTCAGCCAGCTGTGCAGAGTGTTCAGATGCAGCCATCATACGCGAGCAGTGTGAAATCTTTGTCTTCGGAACACAGTGCACTGATCCACTCACCAGGGAGCCTGACACCCCCTCCTCACAAAAGCAATGTCTCCGCAATGGAAGAGCTAGTGGAGAAGGTCACCGGCAAAATCAATATTAAAAAAGAGGAAAAGCCTGCAGAGAAACAGAAATGTTCTCCAGTCAAGCCATTGTCACCTGCTGCTAAGGAGAACAAAGACTTTCCCAACTCAGAGGAAACCAACAAGCTGCCGCCCCCGCAGCAGCAGCCACCGCAACAACAGCCGCCACAAAAAAAGAGTGCTGAAATGGAAGGTCAAAAGGTCAAAAAGGACAGTCCAGGAGATTCTCATGCTCTTAATGGTACTGAATTAGCAAAAGCGAAAGTGACAAATGGCTGTAGTAATTTGGGTATCATAACAGATCACTCCCCTGAACCATCATTCATTAACCCTCTGAGTGCTTTACAGTCCATCATGAATACACATTTGGGCAAAGTATCTAATCCTGCAAGTCCTTCTTTGGACCCATTGGCCATGTTGTATAAAATCAGCAACAGCATGTTGGACAAGCCCATTTACCCAACAACTCCAGCCAAGCAAGCAGATGCCATAGACCGGTACTATTACGAGAACAGTGATCAACCTATCGATTTAACGAAATCGAAAAACAAGCCCCTTGTTTCCAGTGTGACTGATTCTGTCTCCTCTCCTCTGAGAGAAAGTGCCCTAATGGATATTTCTGACATGGTGAAGAACCTCACAGGGCGCTTGACTCCCAAGTCTTCAACTCCATCTTCTGTGTCAGAAAAATCTGATGCAGATGGAAGTAGTTTTGAAGAGGCTTTGGATGAACTGTCCCCAGTACACAAGAGAAAAGGCAGACAATCCAACTGGAACCCTCAGCATCTTCTGATCCTTCAAGCCCAGTTTGCTTCCAGCTTGAGGGAGACTCCTGAAGGCAAGTATATAATGTCGGACCTAGGCCCCCAGGAGCGGGTACATATCTCTAAGTTTACTGGTCTTTCCATGACCACAATTAGCCACTGGCTGGCCAATGTGAAGTATCAATTAAGGAGGACAGGTGGAACTAAGTTTTTAAAGAATTTGGATACAGGTCATCCTGTTTTCTTTTGCAATGATTGTGCCTCTCAGTTCAGGACTGCATCTACGTACATAAATCACCTGGAGACACATTTAGGGTTCAGTTTGAAGGACCTGTCCAAATTACCACTAAATCAGATTCAGGAACAGCAGAATGTTTCAAAAGTCCTCTCAAATAAGACTTTAGGTTCACTTGGAATTGCTGAGGAGGACTCAGGCTCCACATTCCAGTGTAAGCTCTGTAACCGAACTTTTGCGAGCAAGCATGCAGTAAAACTGCACCTTAGTAAAACACATGGCAAGTCCCCTGAGGACCATCTGATCTATGTGACTGAGTTAGAAAAACATTAGCGTCCAGGTAAGCAGCCAGGTATGCAAGTGACCACAGGAACATTGCACTAAACTTCTTCATAGTACTGCACTAGGCCTGACCTGAGCCTCTGAAATCAGTCTTACTTTTGTTGCTGAACTGCCTATCTGGACCTTGGTTTTTCTTACATAAATTTTGTAGTTATATTTATATGCTCTTTGTCTGATCTGTGCATGTTTTTTAAAATTTGTTTTTTCCCCTTTCCTTTCTTTTTTTTCTGTGAGTCAAAGTCTGACCTTTATTTTCAACATCTGTCCTTGATGTTAACCTATCTTTTGTAGAATATAGTGGGAGACACTATTGAGAGCCGTTAATTTAGCCGTAAAGAAAGACACAAAGAACAATAACAAAAAGACACCCTAAAATTGCAAAGTTGCCATGACAATAAAGGTCACAGAACCCTGTGGTGTCAGTTTTTAACCCTCTGAGGATCATAATAGCATTTCTGTGCCTTTCCCAAAAGAAGTTAATGTTATTTTTTTAAAGGCATTTCATCCTAACAGAGCTGGGTCAAAAACAAAACTTACATTTAATAAATTTAAATGTTAAAAAAGCCTTTTAAATGCAGTCTGATTTGTGAAGAATAAAAGCATGCAGCTCTTTAATAATGATGAAAATCTATCGAGTGCTCAAGGGGTTAGAAAACCGCAACCATGTTTAAGAACATAAAAATAATAAACCAAGTTGCCACTATGCTGAAACCCTTTGGATGCTGAGAATTGCCTCTTGGTTGGCAAAAACAAAAAAACAAAAAACAAAAAAAGTATGCAAGTTATTTAACAATGTAAAAATGCTATTTCTTTTTCCTGTAAAATACTGCAGTTTATAGTTATTTACAAATGTAAGCTTTGGTACAAGCTGACCTTTCTATAGTGTGCTGCACTGGTACATGAAAATGAAACAATAAATAAATGAGGCAAGTGTTGGATTAAGTTCCTTGTAAATTGCCAACATCAGCTTACTGAAAAAAGTACATGTTACATATCGTACCATTTTAAACTGTTCAACTTCCTTTATACCTTCTGGCTGTATGCTTTCTCTTTTAACTTTTTATATTGTCATTTTATATTCAATTTCTGTGTATATAATGTAAAACCACACTTTTTTGAATAAAATTTAGTTCCTGCAGCTTGAGTTAAATAGAGAAATTTTACCGGCACCTGCATCTTCCCAGATGCATGTACGCAAAGGAACTATCTGACAAAATAAATAAATAAAAATAAAGCAAGCAATGCACTATGAATTATACATTTTGATGTTTTATCATTAATATTGTACAGTACATTTTTGGTTCACACAATTAAATCCACTGTTTTCTCAAATGTAAAATAAACCCACTTGCAGTTCTTGATTTATGTATATTGTGATGTCATCATTACTTTGCTTTTGAGATCTTAATTTCAGCACTGAGAAATTTTCAGTATGTTGGACGCTATCTGTGTAGCCTAAAATGCTCCATTCAATTGTCTATGCATTAGTGATATCTCAGGATGTTATTGCAATAGTTTATGTTGATGGATACAAACTCATGCAATGTTGCCTGTTAGGAATGAGCATTCTTACGAAGGTAGGCATTCTTGATTTTGCCATGTCTTACTGTAAATCAGCCATTCTCAACAAGGGTCATATGGCTCCTGGGGGGGGGCTGGCACATTTGAAGGGGGCCACAGACTGGAAACAATTCTTCATGCATCACCTTATAAGGTTCATTATGCGACATATAGACTCCTGAATTGTCCTATATTTCTTTCATGTTATGATAATAGCCATGGCCAAAGAAAGGTTGAGAATGACTGCTGTATACCTAGTATTAGACACCCAGCTGTCTGTTTTCTAGGTCCCATTTGTGAAACAATGCCATTTTGCCGCCTCCTCGTGTGTCTATGAGAAGCTGAAAGGCTGCTATCCCCCTCATAGGTCTTGACATGGAAAAGGAAAGATGTGCGACACATTCTGCTAATTTCTACTTTTGTCATTATTTAGCTACTCTCTGCTACTGAGTAGTCAAAGTAGCACAAAAAGTCTTCTCTGTCAGGTCTCGTGCCATGTTTTAAAGTGATTTACCAATCATCTTGGCCTGAATCTGATTATCAGTCCCAGCTAGAGTGGATACATTGGCTAGAATCCAGTTGCATAATTTGTGATATGTAAGGCTGATCATGTCATCAGCTGCAGCAATTTTTTTGGGAAATTAAACATTTCTGATTTTCTCTCCCAAAGGACCTCAGGCTTACTTGGAATCCCTTTGGTGGTGGGGAAGCTTTTTGGAGGCCACGGGACCACGGGCAAGTCTTTAATTTCTGAAGTCATTTCTGCTGGTTAAATCATCCCAATGGCACAAGTTTCAGAAAGATCTCCCATTCCACAGCCCCCAGTAGCTTCCCATAATTAAAGGGATCCCAAGAGAACCTCAGGACCAGGGAGAGATGTTAGAAATTTGTCAATTCCAAAAAAATCTCCATGACTGATTATGTGATCAGCATTATGCAGCATATGTTTAAAAGCAACAGGATTTCAGCCATTAAATCAATGAGGAATTAGTAAGTCAGCACTTACATAAATTCCCTTGCTTCAGTAGGTCTCCTCTGATTGGGACTGAAGGTTGGATTTAGGTCATATTTGCTGACTACTAGTTTACAGTCAAATATTTTCACATTATTATTTGTTGTCCTGTGACTGTGCAAATTATCTGTATATACACCCTCTTAGAGCTATGACATACAAAGTGCCAAAGAGGTATTTTCTCAAAACTGGTTGCCCGTATTCAGGTTAAGGGTATGCATCTTTCTTTATACATGAGACTCCACAGAATCCTTCTCATTGAAAGAGCTGAATATGAAAGGTTGCCTACAGAGAAGAATTCTTTCAACCCTGCTTTGACCGAGAAGTGGACATCTGCTGCTCATGACCTATAGGAGCATAGCCAAAGGTGGGAGATTATGACATCTGGAGGGTCACAGTTACTCACCCCTGCTTTAACAATTTGAAAGGCTGTAGCAAGAAAGCCTTATTCAGGGCTTATTCATATAGTATATTTGAAGTAGGTATACAAAGTATTTTGTAAAGGGTATATTAAATCGTGGAGATTCTCTAGGGTAATGTTTAAGGCCCTTATCCCGGACTGCCCACATTTCTGCTTACATATTAAGGTTGTATAGTATGGCACAGTAGTGAAACGTACAAAATCTTCAAAGAAAAAAAAATCTCCATCGGTATCTTCCCCATGATAGTTTTGCCAATATATTATGTGAATGTGTATATTAACATTAGAATTAGCTTCTGGAACTGATTCCATAAGTAGTTCCTGAAACAAGTGTAGGATACTGTTCATTGGCCCATCTCAGAATGTTCATACAAATAAATTATTCTAGTATAATTCCATCACATTTCTCTCAAATGAATGCTCCAAACAGTACACTAAGAAGTATACAGGAGTGCTTGCACCAACAGACTGCTGCCAGCCTTCTTTACATTGTAATATTGAAAACATGTTGTGGCTGGGTTGCTGAATTTACATGTTCCTTGACCTTGCTTTGAAAATGCAGGTAGAAAAGTGTCTAGAAAACTAGACACCTGTCATAAAGCTTGGAAGATCTGACTTCTCATTCTTGCATCTTGAGGCCAAGCAGATATGAGTGGCAGACCTGGTTCTCTTCTGTTTACAAAATATGCTTGGAGACCTCAACCCAAATTCAGAGCACAGCACAGCGGAAGGATGATTTAACCCTTTGTGCTATTTTCCAGCTGAAAATTCACACACATGCAGTTGGTTCTTTCGCAAAGCTTACAGGCACGCAGGTATGTGCCCCATAATTTGTGATTTGCAGTGGGAAAAGAAAGTTTGTGATAGACATACATTCTAGCATGTGTCAGAGTGCTAATTTGGTAATGCCATTGCCTCCCTGTGTTTGCAGGCATACCCCAGAATCCATTTTCTGGCTCTTTTTCAAAAAAATAAATGATATATTTCAAAATCTGCCTGTAAATGCTGAGAAAAGCTGAGCAGTGCTTAGAGAACCCAGCATAACAAGGCAACTATGCAGCAGATGATGGGATATTGGATTATATGACTTAGAGAGCAAGTAGGAGATTGCATGATTGAGATCTTTTCCAAGAAAAATAATGATGCACACTAGTAAAATAAGATAATGATCTACCAGTATACAGTAAGTCTGTTATTTTCAGTTCCAAAAACCAATCATTGCTCTTGTAAATTTCTTATGTAGACCAGCTAGCAGCTCCTGTCTCAACCTAGAGACTAGAGATGCTTTGTCAAAGAAGGAAAAAGTGTACCATGTGCTATTTTTTCTATTCTTGCAACTGTAATGGCCTTCTGAGGTTTTGACATTAGTTCGTACTTAAAATACAAGAAGTCAGACCTGTACTTTTTAAATATTACATTTTGAAATAAAGCAGAGTGCTATCACATCAGGTGTTTTCCCTTAATCTTTACTTCTGTTCCATTCAATGCAGATGTCACTTACAATGTAAAAGTGAGCTGTCAGGGCCTTCAGTGCTCTGTGCTACCTGTGCTGTGACAATTAATGCATCTGAAAGCCAGACATCTACTATCCATTACACATTTTGAAAGGATATTCACTAGAAGCACCTCTGAGAGATTTGCTTTTCAAATATTGCTAACATGGCTTGGATGGATGGATACAACTAGACTTTAAATGGATTGGCTGCCTTTTTATTTATAAATGGATTAGTTGATAAATTAAAATGTTATGGTAAATCAGAAGTTGTGCTCTGTGGAGCTTGGTTAATTGTGATAATTGTTTCTCACATAAGATCTTGGTTCTGAAGCAAGAGATTTTAGCATAATGCACAATTTCTGAAACCACAGTAGAAGATGCAAGTGCAAGCATTGTTAGGAACAGCATGACCAAACATGAATTTCAACCAGAATCAAAAGATGAGTATGTATTTACCTAAATATGTACATTTTTCTCCAGTTCTGTATTTTAGATCCCCTTGCTCTAAATAACTTTTTCTATTATTAATGGCTTTATGCGTATCCTCTCAATAAATGGGAATTAAGCTACAACTTGTGCTTTTAATCTAACAGCAAAATTATGCTAATTGGCAACACAATGCTTTCAGCCTTAATACAGGGTGTAAGTACTTGTAAATGATAATAGATACTGTTACTTCTTTTAATTACTAAATTGCTTTTTTTTTTACAAGACACTATATGTTGTTTCCATTTTTGAAGGGGAAGTTTCCTGTGCTTGGCTTCACAATATCCAAGTCCAGACTGGCTGCATCTGGAAAGTACGTTCAACGTGTGCAAGAAAATTAAAAAGAGTCTTGGAATTTTCCCCCTTTTCTTCCCTTCATCAGTAAATACCCATGGCATTTGGAGAGATTCAAGTCATTTTGGTATTTAATTTCATTTTAGCGATTGGAATATTGTGCATGTTAAGGCCCAAGGGCTTTAAAAAACCAAGACTTTGACTTTGGAAGTTGCATAAGATAATATTGAGTGAAATATGGAAAAACAATCACAGGATGTTTAATTGTTGGTAATGAGGTTGAATGAGTTAAGGCTATGGCTAACTCATCAAATAGGGAATGTCCCAAATTCTGTGTAATTCTAATCCCCAGACGAGGAAAAAAATGTGTTTCAAAGTGAGGCAGTGGGAAACTGAAGAATGCGGGATGGCTGAAAGCTCAATGCTTAGAGAGTTTTGGAAGGACATTCCATTCAACATCAGCAAAGATGGAATTTGAAACCTTGAGTCTTGACCCAAGCGTGCAGCTATCCGTTTTGAAACATTTGTTAACACAGAGGCTTGGCACATGGACAACTAGATAAAATCTGTGGGCTTTTAACATGCACCTCCCATTTCCCCATATGATAAAGAATGGTACAGGCAAAAGTTAGCACTTTTGGCCTTTTTAAAGTGGTCTACAAATGTGCCACACCCCCACTCTTACCTTTGTATGTTCAGCACTAGGTGACCCTTAAAGGTATATCATGGTTTTGCACATTCTGATGAATTTTGCAAGCTGCTAGGTTCTATTTTAATATCTAACACTACAACTGGATAATCCTCATCCTTTCAATTTAAACAAAGTAGTACAATGCAAAGAGATAATGCAGTGTAGGTGAAATGTGACGTTGCCACTTGTCTTTTTTAATATATTACTTACTAAATTTACAATAACTGATGAGGAAATGGTTGTTGTGGGTTTTAAGGGGCTTTGAGTAAATATTTCATCAAATGAGGATCAAAT